AATTGATTCTACTACTTCCATTTCATAATTACTGCAAGTGTTTCAGGGTTGATTTGTGCATAATTTTACTCTGCCTTAAGGTACATCCACACATTTGGTATTTATCAAATGCCAAATATTTGCCTTTCATCAAAGTATTTGCCAAAGTGTTTGTCACTTGGTGAGCACACATGTACACATATGTGATTATGATATATGATTATTTATGAGCATCAGTTCATTGTGGGAATTACAAATGTTATTCCAAAATCTAGAAAATGGACAACTTTCACAATAAAGAAAACTTTCACATTAAAGAAATAAATTATTTTAATGCAGAAGATTTTTGTCATAAAAATTCTATAACTTATGTAATAGCTTTCAATTTTATTTAAAATATTTATATAATTATTTGGCTTAGAAACTTACCTAGCATTGATAGAAAATATGATTATGATATAATAATACCATATTTACTTGCATATAAGGTGAGGTTTTTATCCATTTTTCACTGCTTCTAAAACCTAAGTTGTCCTATATGCATGAGTGAAAGATTCTTTTCATTTTTGTATAAGTTTTGTAAACTATGTATTTGCATATTTTACCAGATTTTCACTTTCTGGTGTTTAAAAACTAAAATATTTTATCTGGGTCGTTTGAATCGTTCTTGTGTATTGCCAGGAGTAAAGATGAATAGCAATAGGAAAAGCAAAGCTTTTGAATTGAATTCCGAAATTACATGGGAGCCCGATATAAGTTTTAATCCATTCCCACGTGAAAACAGATGATTATTTGGAAATTTGAAGAAACTCATAAGTGTAATTGACAAAGAGTGAATTAGACTGTTAAGAATTGGCAAAAAAGGTTCCCGATTGTCCAGCTTTACGTGAACAAATTATGTTGTCAATTTTACAAGATTTTTCCTTGAAGTTTAAGATGCCAGTAATTTTTGTGGGATAATGTATGCATTTATGTGCATTTGATATTTTATTTGTTATTAAATGAAATAAAATTAGAATTGTATTAATAAATATAATTTTCTTTATTTTGGTCTTTAAAGTCACACCTCGTCCTACATATGAGATTGTATTATATTTGAGTAAATATGGTATATTGATATTTTATTATTTTTACAGTTAAATAGTAATTAAAATAGCTAAAATAAAAATATAAAATGTTCTTTTGAAACTCCATTATTTATAAATTATTACTGAAGTTTTATTATAATTAAATTATNTAATTATAATTATTAAATTTATCAAGAGTCACTTGTCTCTAGGCCAAATTAGTTAATAATAACTACCATTATTATAGCCTGATGTAATTTGCAACAATTTGGCATTAAATTAAAAATTGAATTATTGGATGTTTATATTTGTATAAATTCATTAATTAAAATTATTGTTTTATAAATCTATTGTTACTTTAAGGGGCCGTCCATAAATTATATCTGCATTTTTCTTGACATTTTTACTCCACCTTTCGCATTACTTCAATTTGTTCAAGTTCCCACAACTCCCTCTTCACTTTGGACATTCAACAAAGCTCAACCCCCTTTAAATTTTTATCATTTTATGAACTATAAATACCATAAGTAGAAATGATGGAATTATATCCAAATTACTTTTATAAGTTTGTAACCTTTCTAGTAAGTTATAACAGTGTTTTCCATAATACCTCAATTGTAAAATGAAAGTGTTATCTTTGGAAGCCTAGGATATAGAACAAGGTATTTTGAGAAGTTATCCCTTTTATGTGACCCTCTTCCTTGGCCATGTTTAAATTGTTTAAAAAATTAATCTTTGCATATTCTGTTTAAATTTTTTAAAATAAAATTAAATAAAATAAAGGCAGCTGGCTTTTGTTTTGGCCAGCTGTCTTTCATTATTTGCTTACCATCTGCTGCCACTAATCTCTTCCTTGGACATTCCAGTTATTCCCAGCTTTTGAGTACTTGTACATTTTGTATCCTTTAGGTTCAAAATTTCCTGAACAGAACTTTTTAAACCACATTTATGATGTTTGAAGTTTAGGAGCATCTTCCCCATACATGTTATGAATATTTTTACTCTTCTCATTACATCCTTTCTGAAACTCAAAGCATAATATGTCTGATATACTTTTTATCTGAAGATATTTTAATTTTAATCTATTTAAACAAAATGTGAAATAAAATGTTTAAAATAAGCTTATACACAAAGAATATAATCTCACATTAGCAATATTGTGTTAAATTTCATAACTATTATAATTAAATCACACATTTATGTTAAAATATGTAAATACTTTTTGTTCAATCTAATATAACCTTTAGCTATTAACCATGGCATCCAAGAAGTGTGTTGAAGCAATGAAGTCCTAAGAGGAAGGTTTTAATATTGACAATTGAAATCAAAAAGGATCTTATCACAAAGTGTGAAAGCAGTATACTTATGGTAGATCTGGGAGTCATGTTTTTAAGATGCCAAAGTCAACAATGTGAGACGAGTAAATACAATTTTCAATTATACATCATTTACATATTTAGTGTTTTTGTGTCTTAATTTATTATTAGGACATTTCATTGTGTTATTTTTTCCTTAAATTATGTGTATTTGCTGTTTAAGTTTATAGAAGTGGGTATTGTTTAGGATCTGAAAATGAATTAATTGACTTTCCATTATTTCTAATGAGAAAAATTGCTTTGGACTTTGAATGATTCAGAGTTTGAATTGTCTTCTTGGAATGAATTAGATTTGTGAGGTTGCTGCTGGGGAGAAAGGGAAAATGAATCTGTCTTCTTATCAAGAGGAATGAGAGGTGTGAGCATAATGTGGGTGTGGTTGACTACACTGAAGCAAGTCACTTTTACATAACAAGCTGTTTATTTGGAAAACAATGCTTACATAATTCTGGTCAGAACTTCTCTAGGATGGAAACAAAACTTGGAAAGTTCAGTCTATAGTTTACCATTGTTGGTTATCCAACATCAATCTGAGTTCCAATAGTGATCATACAGAGTTTTGATGGCAATCAGATGGCCCCAGGGCAGATTGGCTGAAAGTCAAATGTGATTATCAATAGAATGAACATGAAATCCAAGACAAGAGGACACTGACACAAAATATACAGGTTGAGCTAGGGAGAAGTGACTACTTTTTCCTTTTAGGGGTTAAAGAATTTATCCCCAAAATTCTTAATTTGATTGGTCCCAATTTTCTTCACTTCCTGATTGATCCCTTTCCTGTTTCCAGATGAAATAGACAACCAGATCAGGCACACGAAAGATCACTCTTTGTTAATCAATTTGACACATCTGTTAAACATCGTCTCCAAATGTTGATCAAACTTTGAAACTTTTGCTCTTATCTCATGCAATGATACTTTATTTTCTGACCTCTAAGAATTTTTTTCATCTTTACTAATTACAATGCAATAGTTTTTCTTTTAGAGAAATGCTATATTTTCTCATTTATTTCCAAATTTTGTCATGTCTATGAGCATCAGAGTCAAAGCTCAATCTTCCTGAATGATATTCTAAACATTCTAACCTGTTAGTTTGCATCAATCTGTGACTTCACGGAGTTGACCCTATTGTTTATTTCATGTCTTTACACTGGATCTAGATCTATTTTACACATTTTATTTGTTAACAAAATATTTTCTTTAAATAAAATTTTTGTATATTTAATTAGGGATTCAGACTCTATCTGGGACTCACAGATTCAAAGTATGAGATACCACTGTAAACAAGAAATTTTGAAATAAAATAATAAAATATAATAGAATGCATAAATTGTGTAAAATTTAATGAAATAAAATGGACATCTACTGAAGCATGACCCTTCCCCTCTTTCTTGTCCGACTTTGTCTAACTTTCATAACTTCCTCTTTGTCCCAGTGCAGACATCATTTATGGGCAGCCCATAATTTATATCTACATTAAATGAATTGAAATTTCATGTGATATTCCATGAATAAAAAATAAATTTTATTTTATACTAGAGTGAGTTTTTTTCTAAAATTAATATAGAAACCACACAATGATTGTTTTACTTGATTAATTTATTTCCCTGTTAATTCACTCTTTACAAAATATATTTCAGTCTATTAAGTCCCTTATCAGTTGCATAGTGGCATCTGTACAATAATGTTTAAAAATCTTAAAAATTCACAAATCACAAATATTTTAAAGTTGTCTTTTTATACAATTGTTTAAGCCCACCTTACACTGAATTTTTCCTTTTGGGTAAGAATCCCATTAATAGAAAAAATAACTCAAATGAAAAATTTATTGTAAGACTGAAGCAATTTTATAAAAGAACAATTTTAAAATATTTGTGATTTGTGACTTTTTAAGATATATTTTTTTTAGAGAAATATAAGGTTGCCTACCATCTTCCACTGAACTGTAACACTCTTGTCCTTTTATCAATAATGTCCTCTTTTTTGAGTACTACAATTTTAATTGCTTGTTTTTGTTTAGTTTTATTTTATTATTTGTGAAATAATTACCAGCAGATGACATTCCAATGTTTTATTTCCTTTTTTCTAAAATAATAGTTTTGTTTTTTATCACTCAGAATAACAGAAAAACATTGTTATTCAGGGTCAGTCAAGTGAAAAGTTTGGGGATTTAATTAGGGTGGCATGCAACAGTTGATGATAATTCTAACCTAGAGTTTAAAACCATATTAATTGTCTATTTAATTTTTTATAATTTACAATTAGTCAACAGATATCACAAACTACTTTATTATAAATGTCCTTCATTGTGCAATGTCCATGCAATGGCCTCTTTTCTTTTTTTTTATGTTTTGTATGAAAACGTTAGTAAACCCTATACAGGTGTCACTGTGCAACTGATGAAGGTCTTAGTCTGAAATGCATTTTAAAAAGAGTGGCACCATAGAGAAATAAAGCATTCTAGCTAAACCAATTGCTGTATGATTTCTATATTTTTTGGAAGAAAATTCACTTTAATATCAATTATCAGTATGGTCAAGAAACTTATTTAAAGTTATTTTTTTAATACTTGTTAGGTGTAAACAGTTAGTGCTTTCTGTTATTCGCACTTTATTTGATCTTGTCGATGTAAAGACAAAAGAGGTAAGTACTCTTAATATGGTTCATATATTATTTATTTTTTTACAATGTCCTTAGCAATTTTTAAGATTTTGCTTATTTCACATAATGCTAAAGATGTTGGTAGTAATATCATTAAAGTTGCCAATATCTGGGCTAGAAAATTAAAAATCTTTTCTAGACAGCCAATAATCAAGATTTTTTTGGACTATCAGAAATTGTTATTTATTTAATAAATTTATTTTTTTTATTATTTTTAATATTTATTGATATAAAAGTACTTTTCTAGCATTAATTTGTAATAATTAGTAAGACTACCACACGGGATTGGCTGAGGAAATCTGCTTTTCTGCTTAGAAAGTTGTCCTCCCTGCATAAGACAAACTTCTCCTTGTCCAAGATCAATAGCCTTAAGTTGGCCATCACCAAGTACTACCTTACGAGTTGGCTTTTCAAATAGTTTTTTGTTGTCACCCATGGATTGCTTTTGCAATGCAAGCATTGAGACAATGGACAATTCCATACCTGGGAATTTGGTCACTGCTTGACAATTCTTGAGCATTGCTAGGACTTCTGGGACTGCATCGGAGGCACCATTATCACGTGGTGGGGGATATACTTAGATCCCCTTTCTATGATCTTGGAATCCGGGATGGAATGTGCTCCTGCGTGTAATTGTAGAATGAGATTGGTTGTGGTTGTCTACATTGCTTGGGTGTAGCCTCAAGGAGCCATTGGAATTTCTTGTTTAATTTAAAGATCATCTTTTGAGCAAATAGTGATGCAATACTTTGCAGTTTCCCAAGTTAGTCATAAAGAGAGGCTGGATGGCATGCTTTTGTGAACAGCCAACTCGTAAGGCGGTACTTGGTGATGGCCAACTTAAGGCTATTGATCTTGGACAGGGAGAAATTTGTCTTATGTAGGGAGGAGGACTTTCTAAGCAGATTTCCTCAGCCAATCCCATGTGGTAGTCTTACAGGATGACCCAACTCCTACTGTATTAAGGGAGACTAAGAAAGTAATAATTAGTACATTTCTGCACATATAATAATAATATTTCTTTTAATGAAAGACAAATAGGAAGCATTTTAGGACAAAATACTTCCATTTTATCCATATTTCTATATTGATGATTTTTAACTGGTATGTCACAGCATACCAGTTGAGAATTATTAAACTAGATAAATAGAATGATGATTCTCAACTGATGTGCCATGAAACTTAGTTTGGCATCATTTTTGTAAATCTTGAAAATTGGCTTATGATATAGGTTAGTCAACATTGTCATATTCAACTTATTAATTTCTGCAGGAATTGTATTTGTACAACTATCAACTCTACAACCATTAAATGCAGTAAAAGTTTTTTCTTTATTTTAGAATAAAGAAGTTGATGCTACATTTAATGGTTGCTGTGAAAAAGTTTACTGCACTTGATGATTGTAGAGTTTACAGTTGTACAAGTGCAGTTCTTATAGGAATTAAGATTTCTTGTATCTAGCTCAGTAATTCTCAATGAATTACCAAGCTAGATAAAAGAAGTAATGGATGCCAAATTACAAAATTTTTAGAACTAGCCAAAATTCAGTATTGTATTATTGAAATGAGTAAAAACAAAAACTACTTTCTAAGAGCACTTATTCTTGCTCTTATATTATCAGTATAAGAGTAATTATTAAATAAAAATTGGAACAGTCCACATTAATTTAACATGATAATAGTTAATGAATTAAGTGCTGACTAGCAAATGCTCTAATTGTTCTATTTCTTGGGAACTGAGTTTTTAACAGATGTTTTTTCCCTGTGTGTACCACGTACATGTTTCAGTGTGTCATGATTTGTTTCTATATGTCTGTTAAATATGTAATGATAATGTGGGAGGAGAAATAGTTCTAAATGTAAGTTGTAACATTTTTTCAATTTTTCTCCTTTCATGCATTAAAACAAACAAAACATAATCTTCTTTAAAACAGTAACCTGCCAAAAATGGAAAATTCTGGCTGGTACTGTTGAATTTTATTTTATACAGATTTAACTGTATATATATTTAACTTTATATGAATTTTGGCAAAAAAAAGAATTCAAAATTTTGGTTGGAAAATATATGTTTTTATGAGATTTTATCATATTTTATTATATGTATTAAAATTATTATAATCTTTATTTAATCCTTAATTTTTCATTAAATTATTTATAATAATTTAATAAAAATAAAATGCTATTACAGGTGACAACTAATATGACATTACGACAAGATGTTCTGAATTATCACTTTTTACAAAAGTCTATGGGAAAACATTTTCCAAATTTTCCAATAGGCCATGTAACATTTTCTTTAAATGCTGAATGGATTATGAAAATAGAAAGATCATGGAGGTTTAATCAAAATAAGGTAACTATATTTTTGAAATAGTTAATTTATCATTAGGACTAATGGTAGGCAGTGGATAATTTTTCAGCATTTACTTTCTTAATGTTAAATTTAATGAATAGGACTGTTTATTACACCAATATTAATTTCAGTTTTTTTAATCATTGTTTCAAATTTATGATCCTTAAAAACACAAATATAAATTTTTTAATTCATTAAAGATCCAAAGCATTTTATTTATTAAAATAATTTTTAAAAATTTGTATTAATAAGAATAAATTGATTTTTATTATTATGTTCAATTTATAAAATATATAGTTTTTAAATTTATAAAAGTTTTGCTTTTCAGGCAATGGAATTTATTTATTTTCTTGTTCCTTTAAATAAAGATGAACATATCATTGCTACAGCTACTGGACTGGTATATTTTAATTACTATTTCTTATTATTTTTATCGACTTCACTGAAGAATTAAATATTTGATTTGGTTATTCATTTATATATCAGATACAGTTTACCTGGGTTATTGCTTGTAATCAGACAAACTTCTCCTTGTCCAAGATCAATAGCCTTAAGTTGGCCATCACCAAGTACTANTAACTTTGGTTTTTTTTCTATTGAGATAATATATAAAAATTTGAAAATATTTTTGAATTACAGTCAAACCTCAGTTTTGAACATAATTTATTCCTAAAATTTGTTCTAAAACCAAAACAAATTTTCCCATAAGAAACAATATAAAATGGATTAATCAGTTCCTGACACCTGAAATAAAGCCTTTTTTTTACATGTTTAGCTGTATTTTATGCTAAAAATGCCTACAAATGCAATATAATATTGTATATAATAGAATACTATATTATATAAAATAAATTTTTGTTATTTAATTTGACTTAATCACCTTTAAAGATGAATTCTTGGATGCCATTTATATTACATGAATGTTAATTAACACAGTTTTTATTAATTTAATTTAAATTCAACTGTAGCATGTTCTGAAAAACAGAAGTAGTATTTTTTCCTCATGCGCATTGAAATCTAATTTAAATAGCAACATCATTTATTCATGCCATGATGTCTAATGACGTGGATGATCTCAACGTCACTAACTTCTGAATCAGTAGTCCTGTGGCTGATTGGTCGGGCTGTCAACTTTCTTCAACAGGGAGTTGACTGTCTATGTCTCTTTAATCTGTATTTGGCTCTTGCCGAGTAGCTTGTTTGGCATGATTACACTGTATAAACATTATTTGTACAGTGTAATTATTCATGTTTGGTGATGAATAAATATTGTTTGAATACCTCCCAGATTTTCATCAACTAACAATTTTACCAAATAATGCTAAATTAGTTTTAAACTCTTCATTTGTTTGGAACTGATTAATTATCTTTAACATTTATTAAAGTCTTCAATACTGTTTACTCTTTTAAAGATGAAATTTGCATATTATATTGTTTGCTTGTTGATGACTCAAAAGGTTGAAAGTGATAAAAATTATTTACCTGATTTGATTACAAAATTTATCAATTATGCTATTTTGAATTGTTATGAGTCAACACAAACTTTTTTTCCAGTTTGTTGTTGACTTATATATAACAGTATGTTGTTTAAATCAGTTTTATGCGTTTTTACTCAGTAAAGTTTAGTTTTCGTAAATGGTAAAACATATATTTGTGACAGTTAATAAATACAGGTAACTCTCACTATTTACATGTTTGGTTTTTGTGCTTTTGCTTATTTGCATTTGAAAATTTGTACCAACTACAGAACTATTCAAGAAGCATTTGTGTATCTGTAAATTGCTTTTACAATATTTAAATTACAGTACAGTAATTGTAAAAAGTTGCTGTCTGTTATTTCCAATTTTTACATTTTTTGACATAACCAAGCAAAGTATATTAATTAACTATTATACTACTAAACTAAAGTCATCACATTACAGCAACAATGCTTTCTACCAAATTGAACATGACAAAGTTTTGCCATAATTATGTGAATGCAGTATATACAGTAATTACATATTTCCATACAATTATAATAATAATAATCTCATATAATATATTATTTTAGTATTACTATAGAAGTATTTTTATAAGTTTTATTTTTAGTTTGAATTATGAAGTAAAAACAAGTGTGATAGAGGACTCTGCATCTTCACTTTCGTGTGTTTGCCAGTTCTGCAATTCCATAATACAGCAAGTGAAAAAATTTTTATAGTATTTTCAGTATTTTATTTATTATGACCTCTCCTAAAAGTAGTAGTGTTGCTCTTGAAAATATGATTAACTATAAGAAACCAGTTTTAAGTTCTGAAGAGGTAAATTCTCAATAAAGTGGAAGTCTTGATTCTTAAAGGACATGAATAAAAAAGCCTATCAAGCAACATTAACTCAGTTTTTCCAAACTATTGTAACTCTTCATACTTGAAAGTTTAAATATTTCCTAGACAGTAACATGCTTCAGCTCAGCCATATTGACTTGATCTGCAGGAACTTAACTCAATCTTCTCAAAGGTCTTCCTTATTTGATATTTGCAAATTGATGTTCACAAGATTTCTAAAGAACATAGCCCTAGTGAATACTGAGAGTTGCCTGAATTACTTGAGTTATTTTTAATTTTAGCAACAATTAATTTTAAAGTGTTAATTTAATTAGTGAGTTTTAGAAATTTACTTTACAGAATATTAAAGATTTAAAAATATATAGAATGTTTTATATAAATAATATATTTCAGTTCAGAAAGTGAAAATCTAGTTAAACAAACTGAAATGATTCCAACCAAAACATATGATATGAGAAGATTAATATATGTGAAATCTGAAACATTGCTTGCAAAAGAATATTCACATTTGCTTATAATTGCATCACCTTCAGGAAATAAGGCATGTAACTATCTGAATATTTTTCATAAGTTCATAGATTTAATAAACTGATAATATTTTTAATTGTTCACTACCAATGTCACATGCATACGCATTACTTGTCTTGTGTATTAAATGGAATTAAATTTTGTTATTTTAACTTTTCAGTCTCATCCTACTATTAAATAGTCTTTTCTCTGTCCATTAGTACTTATCTTTACTTCTCTTTTTTATTTATTTTTTACTTTGTCATAAGTTCACATATTTTTAAATATCAATGTGTAAATATATTTTAATTATAATTATGATGTACCATGTTGTCTTTTTGTATTTTATGATTTTTTTATTATTATTATTTTTAGGATAATTTAAACTTATTTAGTGACAATAAACAATAATAATGTTGTAATTTTGTTTTTGAAAATGCACAATTGTTTCAAATTTGGATTAAATGATATTAACATAATTTTTTTCAACAATATTAATCATATAAAGACTATCACTTAAGTTGGACAAGTCTCTAACTTGACCTCTGAAGCCTCAGGGCTCCTGTATCAGAGATATATTAATGTCCTCTGTTATAACACAGGGTGGCTCAGCACTACAGATGCTACCCTGCAGTGTTGCAGATTGATTTGGATATAATGTAATGTTATGATGTAACATATTCTGTCTTATGGCATTAAAACCAACATTTTATTAAAAAATTGCAAGTACTTTTGATAGTTTACAAATATCTATCCTCTTCAGGCTGATTTGATTAGACTCAGGCTGAGTCTAATCAACACAATGCCTCCACATTGGATTTGGCAATTATCCCTCTTAGTTGGATCTGTCACAGCACTCGGATGAAAAAACCCCACTGAGACATCATAGCACAGATCACCAAGCACTCTCCACTAAAAAGATGGAGACATTACAAGAGGGTTAAAAATATTTGAGTTCTTAATAAACTGTTTTGAAAAACAAGGATATAATTAATTTATTATTGACAATGCATAATTTATATGCTAGACTTAATTTCAAATTATTTGAAAATTATAATGATTATACAGGTTGATACACTTATATTCAATGAAATTTCTTTATTTTTAAAATATAACTTAAGGAAAACTAATTTACTTCCTGACTCTCTTGAGTTTAGTTTGAACATTTTTAGGAATTGTACCTCTATATAATTGTTTAAATATAAAACGTCTTATTAATAATATAGATATATTATTAACTTGATAAATGTTGTTTTTTATTTATAGATTGACATTTTATGTGAAAGATTCAAATTCAAACCCCGACATCATAATATTTTGTTACCAGATATTTTTCAGAATTTGAAAGGAATGTTTTCTGTAAATATCCTTAATATACCTTTGGCAGATGGTGTTGTATATTTTAGAATTAAATTCATAAATCTTAATTCTATATGGCAAGCATATATACTAAATTTGCACATAACACGCTGTAAACAAGGAACTAAATGTAAGTATTATGTAATTGTTACATATCCAAAAAATTTTTTTATACAGTAATACCCCGAACTTACGCAATAGGTGGGACCGAGCGATAACCACAAAAGTCAAATTCATGTAAGTCAGGGTATAATTTCGCCTATAAATACATACAAATAATTTTTAATTGGGGCCGGAGACTAAAGAAAACAATAATTTAGAAAAAAAATGTTTAATAAAATCTTAGATAATGCATATATATAACAAATTATATTATTATACAATTTTCACATTTACTTGATTATCACACCATAATTTTAACATTGTTTCCATCTCAGGGATAATACCGTGACATTTATGAATGATGGTTGAATTTAAGATTGAGCATTTTTTACAGCTTCGAGAATTTTTTCTTTACCTTTTATAATTGTTCTGACCATTGATTCCGGTAGATCAAACTTCTTTGCCAATTCACAAATTTTCATTTTTGTATCGAAGTCTTTAATAATGTTAACTTTACATTTCAAAGATAAAGTTTTTTTTTCTTGTTTCATGCAGAAGAATCAGTTCTACTTCGTTTAGATGACACAGTAGAGTCTCTCAAGTCTCCATAGATATGACAAACACAGAAATAAATAACACAAAATAAATCATAGCTATATGTCGATTCCGCATGACACATCCGAACATGTAAGCCAAACAATAGTGTGGGGGAGTGAGTAATCAAGAGTTGCGTGGCGAAACAAAAGACGAATCAACAGGATTTGAAAATCGCTTAAAAATTTAACTCTGGGTTTGCGTAAGTCGGGGTAGCATAAGTCGAGGTATTACTGTATTTACAGAATAAAATTATGTTGTAATATTTGAAAAAATATATTTTAACTTAGTCATTACTTAGACAAATACAGTAGACCCCACTATAAAACGGGTTCATATAGTTCGGATTCCTATATGACTGTGAAAAAATTGCGACCGTATTCATATAAACATGCTAAAAAAAAACTCATATAATTCGGTAAAACGTCATTGCCGACTCGTGTTGTGACAGGATTGCTCAAATCTAGACCAATAGCGGATATTGTACAAACCGTTGAGTTTAAACGAGCAGCGGACCTACTAAAAACCATTTATTATTTAACGTCCATAAAAATTATATTTATATTAATGATGTTTCCAAAGTTCAGCAAATTTTTCGCAAAAAAAAATAATTTATCAGGAAGCACATGAGCACCATTCAATGCACCGCTTCACGACGAAAACAAGCTTAAGCAATGGCGTCGTTGAACGGTGCACACTCGGTAAGTAATCCTACAATTTTTTGTTTATAGCATAGTTTATATGGATTATTCCCAAAAAATTATACGTATTTTGGAAATGTTGAGTCAAATTAGTCTAGAATCGATTAATTTTATGGAAGAAAACCTTTCAAACAGCTGTAGTCTGTAAAGTGCATACGTGCCTGGCTGTGATTGGCTCATGTATTTAAGGACTCTTAGAACATACATTCCGTTCTTTATGAAATTGATCTACCGTATTATAGGGGGGTCGACTCTATTAAACATCTGTACTGTACATCAACAAGCTGATATAGCAATGAATTTTTTTAATGCATTTGTATGAGATATTAATTATACAGAGCTTGAATTTTAGAAGTTTCTTATTATTTTTGAAAAATGTAAAATAGTTATATTTTTTTTAGTTGATTCTTGTTGATTTATACAGTGTGGCCATATTTTTGCAGATTGTCCACATGTTGGTTTAGCTGGAGAGACCATAAAATCAGATATTTCTATATGGTAAAAACCAACATGCCAGTTTATTCCAAGGAATGATGGCATAACAGTTTAGATGAGGTTATACATTCCTCTCTAGAGGGTACATGAAAAAAACAAACAAGTTTTTATTCTAAAACTGTAAAACTGTCAACAATAAATCAAAAAATATGATTATACATTTAATTTCTGCATTTTGTTCTCTTTCTAACAATGTAAAATATTCATGGAATGCTGAAAGTGTTTTTCCTATGTTTATTTTATTGTAATTTGATCCAAAAACACAAAAATAAACACACATCAAATTCAGAAACTGCTGTAAATTATCTCACTTTATACCATTAACATCTGCTTTGTGTGAAATTTGAGAGGAAGTGTTATTTTTGTCAGGATAGATTGTCAGTGCAGCCCACACTGACTGACTACTATTGCTGCTGCTACTAATGTCAATAAGCTGTTAATTGTTTTATTGTCCTGTAAACAAAAAACACTCTTCCTAATGTTAAATTTGTCATTAAAAATATGACACTTCTGTGTTGCGGCGTTATTGACAGCGATTTGTTAAATTTCAGACGTGCTCACTAGTACTTTCAACAGTTTACAACCATCGTCTTCAGGCGAAATCGAATACCTTTATTTTCGAATTGACAGCTTTTAACGGACTTTCCAAATTACGTAATGCGCGTGGTTGGAATATAGAACAAATTAATAAAATTGACGTAGTGACGGTTGAGGGGATAACCCCTCAACCGTCACTATGAAGAACATTGTGCAACGATAGAGACATTCTCACGTTGAATGAAAAATCGGGGGTTTACAAAATTCTATTAAAACATACAATATCAGGGGAGGAAATTATCTATATTGGAGCTACCACCAGAATGATACGGGCCCGCATCCTCAAACATCAAGAAGACATTAGAAATAATAGACCAGCCACAGAATTAGCGAAAAAGATGCTAGAACAAGATTATCTTCCACTTTGGAACCATGTTAAATTACTTAAGCATTGCAATGATTGTAGGCAAATGTTCATACGGGAAAACCTTTACATATCCGCTACTATGCCGTGTAATGCGCCGACATTGGAAATACCACAGCTATGGATAAATTTATTTAAACAATCCAAGTTATAATTTTGTGTTCTGATTTTATTCCATTACTATGCACGGCACCATCAATCAATATTTATATGTTTTGGGGAGTTCAAGTTATTACAGCAGGTTTCTTTAAAGAATATTTATTTATTCAATTTTATTAATTTGTTCTATATTCCAACCACGCGCATTACGTAATTTGGAAAGTCCGTTAAAAGCTGTCAATTCGAAAATAAAGGTATTCGATTTCGCCTGAAGACGATGGTTGTAAACTGTTGAAAGTACTAGTGAGCACGTCTGAAATTTAACAAATCGCTGTCAATAACGCCGCAACAC